TAATTCCACGTTAGCGGCCAGAACCCTGAAAATGAGTCACCGTAGTGAAACAGCTGTCGCCTGCCCCATACCGAACAAGAAGCCCGTCGGTTACCATAGGATGTAGCCACTCTGCATCATACCGATCCTCTCAGAATCATGTACCCGTACCAAGCCAAAAACCATACATACTGTCGGTCTGAGGTAGCACCACCCCATGATCTCCATGGGACTCCCGCTCTCAGTACATCCCAATGGCGGTAAAGTTAGTAATCAAGCAACCCAGGGAAAGCGACGCAAGGGACCTCGACCATCGGTAGTTGTAAGAACTGTTAGAATCCGGGAAAAATGATCAATCCGGGGTCAGAGCTGATTGCGGGCAATCGAGGCGAAATTAGGTCAATTTCCCAATAATCATGGGTTCCTGTCCCTTTCATCGTTTTTAATCATTCTTCCTTTTCCTTAATTCTATTGTCGGAAATAGTAAATTAACCGTAAATTCCCCAAAATTAAATTCCGAGAAAGTTTAAATACATGGCTGATTTCCCTTTTTTTTCTTTTCTTTTTTACCATTTTTAATATTTTTCTATGTTTTTAACTTCATTGCCGGGAACATAAAATAACAAGGGTATTCCCTCTAGAATTAAATGCCGTAAAAAATAAAGAAATTAAGGAATATTATGTTTTTCCCTTCTCCCCTATTGGTCTTAATCCCTTTTCCCCATCTTTAATTATGGTACTAAAATAGTCAAAAATTCGAGGCCTCATTTCGGCCCCGGTCGTACGCTGCAAAAACGTTGGGGCGAGGTCAGTTCCCGCGATGCCTCTCCGCGGCAGGCCACTCCGGGTCTAAGCCTCTGAACGGCTTGAAATGACGGTCCCTAGATACGCCGAGTGCGGCCACCCATCTCGCCACCTTTGAGGGTTACTCGTAAGGTTCAGTGCACCCAAAATCAGGGGTGCCCTGAGTTCCCCTCATTTTTGCTGCCTGGTCATTCCAGAGTACCGTTAAAACCCGGATTTGTCCCTGAGCCTCAGCCCCAAAGCCGCAGATTTCAGGCGGCGCACTGCTTGTGGCCGCCTGACAGTTAGCCCGGACCACTTCTCGACGCCCCTATCGAGTCCTATCCACTTACGTCAAAGGAAGCGGACGAGCTTCAGGGTGATTGCCCGTAAAGGACGCCCACGTCGACGTTTAATTGTCTTAAGTCTCAGTTTGTTATGAGTCCTGGGGCTAAGAAGATGTTTCTTGACTTTTCTTTTCCTTCGGGATCTTGACCTTGGTAGGATCCTCTTTTTCTTCCGACGTTGGCCCGAGAAAGGTGCCGATTCGCCAGTTTGTCTAATGCGAACTCTCCGTCTGACCCTCTTGAGCACGAATAACTATTTCTTCTCTCTTCCTAATGCCATCCCTTTGACCTTTCTTTTCTCCACTCTTTTCCCCTTCTTGGAACTTTCCCCTGCCTCGAATCGTCTCGCGGGGGCTCCATCCTCCATTTTGGCCTTTCCTTTCCCTTTCGGGCTTGTCAGCAATAAGCTGGGTGCAGGCCTGGGTCTAAATAACTTTAACCTAGCACCTGCCACTAGGTCCTTCCACTTGGATCTGTCTAATTCTGCTATCATATAGGTCCCCTAGTCGAGCGCCTCAACCACTCTGCAAGGTCTCATCCATCTGTTGGCGAGTTTTCCAGTCCAGTTCTTCTCGAGTGCTGCGTCGTAGAGAAGGACCATATCTCCTACGCTCACCCTCTCTTTCCTGATCCGCACGCTCTTATCCCATCTCTCTTTACCTTTGTCCCTCTCCACTGCCAAACGGTTTGCCGCTGTTATAAGGTTGTCTTCCAAACCGTAGGTTATTTGTCTTGTTCAGGCAGCTACGAGTTCCTCTCTGGTCATCTCCTCAGCCCAGTCGACGGTTGTCAAGCTGTCGACGTGAAACTCAATGGGGAGAGGACAATGCCGCCCGAACCACAAGGTGTATGGTGGGTATCCGGTGCTACCCCGGACCGTGACGTTGTCCGCCCATATTGCGTATCGAAAATATCGTGGCCAATCACTGTCTCTGCCTTTGCACCACTTGGATAGTGACGCTATCAGAGTTTGGTATCCCCTTTCTACTGGAGAGTTCGATTGTGGGTGGTAGGCAGTGGCTATCGAAACTCTCGCCCCGACTCTCTTGAACACACTCTGAACCTCGTCAGCTAGAAACTCCGCTCCTATGTCCATCACTATCTTGCTGACACAACCATACCTAGATAAGTACTATAGGACGAAGTTCTTCACTTCCCTTGCCGTCTTACTCTTGATAGGTCTACCGTCCACGAACCCAGTGAAGTCATCTCATATGTTCACAACGTAGTTCATATTGCCTACCCCGTTCGGCATCTTCACTAGATCGATGTGTACCTTCTCGCCCGGCCTGGTCGGATAGGGTGGATGAAGTGGCTCTTTGTATTTCACAATAGCTCTCTTCTGGCACTCCTCGCAGGTTATACAGTATCTCTCGACGTCCTTATACTGCCCTTCCCACCAGTACAGCCTGCGTACCTTTCCGTAGGTCCCTTTGACTCCTCTATGTCCTCCGACTACTCTGTCGTGAAGCTCCGCAACTATCATCTGTCTGTTCTCAGGATCACAAACTACTCGTAAGGGCATCCCCGAACCGACGGGTCGACGAAATAGATGGCCCGCTCTAAGGCAGTACTGGGCTGCTTGTCTCTGGATATCTGAATCTTGACTCTCCTCACCCGACAAATGTAGCCCGATTGTTCGATATTTGTCTTCGTAGAGGTTAACCAGAAATCGATCGGCGCGTCTCGGCTCCGCCAATGTCAGGGCTCCAGCTACTATCGGGAGCTCGGCCTCAAGAGCAACAGAAAAATTCCCATGAGAAATTAAAGTTGAAAAAACATTCTATAAAGAAAAAATCCTTCATATTTATAAATTATCATTCCAATGTTTTTCCAATTCTAAAATTTTCAATTTAATTTGATAAGTTCCCGTCTAAATATGAGCTTTCCCTTCCAACTCCATCTATTTGTTCAAGATGGAATGAAAGTCTAGACGATTTTATGAAATGTTTTAATTATACTTTCATTCTACTACAACAAATATCGTCTAATTTAAATTGGATTAACATATTTATGACTGGAAATCCTTACTTAGAATGACAGTCCAATTAAAATATTTCATGAACTCATCCAGACTTTCATTCCATCTTTAGCATGCAGTTCAAATAAGAAAGGATACCCCATTCTTGAAAGGAAAGTTTTCAAGTAAGACGGGAAATTTTAAAATTGGAATGACATTTTTTAAGATGGAATGAAAATTTGAAATTTAGAATGTAATTTTACTCTAGAATGATTATTTAATTCCGCGAATTTTTTTTGTTGTGGGATCCGCGAAAGACCATCTGCCACGACATTTTTAGTGCGAGATATCCTCTCAACTGTGTTATCATATAGCCGAATCCGTATTAACCATCGTGCGATGGTCGGGTCCGTCAGGCTAAAGTCCTTCTGGAGGACAAAGGCGACCGTTGTGGGATCTACTCTTAAGATGAACCGTTGTCCGTAGATATAGTGTCTGAACGTGTCTAGACACCGGAAAACAGCTAACACTTCCTTCTTGAATTGACTGTAGTTTCGCTCAGCCGTATTAAGTGTCCTACTCTCAAATCTTAACGGTTTTTCCTTCCCTTCAGCGTCCTTCTGAGACAACAACCCTCCTACTGAACAAGGTCCAGTATCCGTGGATACTATGAAGAGTCTCTCAGCCTCATCATCAAAGAATGACACGCCAGTACGTGTCCTCCCTCCTTAAATTCATCTTTAAGCTCTTGCATAGCGAGTTCCTATGAAGAATCTCAGTAGAATTTCTCAGTCTTTCGAAGGAGTAGCCTCAATGCTCAGCCTTCTCCGCATACCTCCGTATGAATATCGGTCAGTAACCGACCACCCCCAGAAATTGTCGGACCTCCGTAGCACTATGTAACGGCGACGGCCAGTTTAGGAGTTTGTCTAGCTTCGTAGGATCCGCTCGGCGCCCTCTCGAGTCGCAGATAAAGCCTAAGATCTTGATAGTCGAGACGTTCCACCGATTCTTTGTTCCGATGACCGTCAAATTTGCATCGTCCAACTGCTCAAGTATCGCACAAATATCGGTTAGGTGCTGCTCGGCGAATCTCCTAACTCCAGGCACGACCTCTGTCTCATCTTTCTTTTACTGGTCCTTTTATAGGAAAGTCATCCAGAAAAACTTCAACCTTATAAGGAATAAAGTCCTTGAAGATGACTACCATGGCTCTCTGAAAAACAGCTACCCCATTAGTTCAACCCATGGGGACAACCATCATCTGTATTAGTCCCAATGACGTGTGCATAGCCGTGAGGTGCGTGTCGCTAGGATCAAGTGGTACCTCATCATAGCCCGAGAACAGATCACAGACCAAATAAATGGACCTGCCCGCGGCGCCTTCAGCCATTAAGTCGGCGTGAGGCACGGAGCCCACGTCTCGAATTGTCACTGCGTTGACCTTCTGAAGGTCCTGGATCCACCGGATCCTGCCATTCGGCTTTCGTAGGAAGAACCATCGATTAGCATAAGCGCTGTCAGATAGCTCTGCAACATGAGAAGCAATTTTTTCTTTCAAGAAAGCGATAACCTCTTCCTTCTCCTTCTGGGCGTATTTCCATCCTGCGTCATTCCATGGAACATATGGAATCGTATAAATTCTTGCAGGCTTAGCGTATCGAGGATCAACCCTATCTCGCTCCGCGTCGCTGAAAGCTATAGCCTTATCACACGTCTTTAGGATTTCTATTACTCGTTCCCGCTCCTGTGGGGTCAGGTTTACATCTTCGATGTTCATCCCTGCTATTCTCTCTTCCGTTAGGCGTTGCGGCTCCTTTTTCTTTCTTTCTTCGATTTCCTTTGCGATCTCTCCTTACGATATCCCTTCTAGTGCAGATCGCTCGCGACCCACCGCCGCTGGGTTAACTTTCTGAGCTACTCGCTTGTGTCGCTTGGGTAGCCCCCCATAGGGGGCCATGCCCTTCAAAAAAACACAGATAACACACCGCCAAATTCCTCATCTGCCTCCTTTGGATACGTGTTGCCGTCCACTATTAGTCGACTCCCTAAATCTTCCATCTCTACAATCTGGCCTTCTTCTTCAGTGAGCAGTGGTCCATACTTCTTCTCGCGAAATCGCACCGCGCGGCCAGAGATAGGTAATGACTTAATCTGATCACCGGGTCCTGCTCCCACAGCGAGGGCTGGTCTGTTCCTCGGGTCTCGAAGCTCCACTGTCTCAATCATAATTCGCGCCCCATCTAGCTTCTTGATGGACAATGTCTGGCTCCCGTCGGGCCGCTCTATCGTCACCGCATGCACATGGCTTAACCACGTCCGTCCCAAGAGTAAGTCAGAGCTGCAGTTCTTGACTGCAAAGACTGGCTGGGTCACTCGTACCCCTTGGACCTCTATGGCTGCCTTGTGACAAACCCCAGTGATCTCTTGCTTTCTCCCATCAGCCATCTCTATCTCGAATAAGTATGACCTATCAAGGCCCAGTCCAACTTGCACTGCTAGATCTTCGTCTATGATGACAGCCTCACTGCCGTTATCGATCACAATATCCAGAACCGCTCCATCGTTTAGGACTGCCTCCACGGTCCCACTTCCAAGTATGTAAAACTTGTTTGGAGGCACACCTTCCATCCCATCAAGAAGAACTGTTGCCATGCGATCCGTTCTAGCTGTCACCTCCGATACTGCTACAGTTGGAGCATCCGCCTTTGGGGTCACCTGAGCCTCCTCTGATAGAGGTATGCGAGTTTTCCGCGTGATCATCTGTAACTCGTCGCGAGCCGACTTGGACGCCGCCAGATATTCCAGAATAGAGCAATGCATGGGCTGCCGAAGGGCCCGTCTCAGTGGCTCGACCGTGTCAATCTCATCCAGCAAACTCTTTATCAAGAACTTCTTCACTCCCCGCTTTCGTGGCGAAAGAATAACCTCCTCTCCATCGATCCGTTGTCCGTCCTTCTCCGCCATCACGTAATCCGTGTCGGTTTTCTTCGATGTAGACCCCCTTGCCGACTTGGTAGCTGCTACCCTTATAGGTGTGGTTGCCATATCTCCTTCGAAAGTTATCTTGATGCTCTGGCTCCTAACAGGTTTCTTTCCTCTACTCGGCTTTACTCTCTTGCTTCAACATTCTCCTTCATTGAAGCGAACATCGATACGTTTCCCAGATTATCTGCCCACTTGACGTACTTGCGGTTATTAAGCACGACAAGTCCCTTATCTATTGTCCGTTTTAGATCCGGGCAGTCTCTCTTGATATGATCATCCCCTCTACAGTAGACGCAAGAGTTCCTGGGAGTGGGTGACCTGTCATCTGCGCCCCTGGAGGTCGAACCTCTCGCTGCTCAGGGGTCAGGGGACTTTGTATGTGGATCGGACGACGCCTCATATCCCCCTCTCTCGTTCCGGCCGCGTGAATGATTGCGGCGGTCTCCTCCGGATCCTCCTTGCTCATATCGTCCCCGTGAGTCATTCCGGCGGTCCCCATGGTTGTATCGCCCGCACGACTCATCGCGTCGATCTCCTCGGTCGTACCACCCCCGCGAATCATCACGCTGAGCCCTCGCGAATCCCTCGCGGTCATACCGCCCGCGCGAGTTATCTCGTCGGCTTCCGTCTTGATCTCCTCTCTCATACCTGCCACCCCTGTATCCATCTCGATCCGACCTCTCGTGCCTGTCGTCCCTATATCCATCTCGGTCCGATCTCTCATATCTGCCGTCCCTGTATCCGTCTCGCCGGCCCTGATCTGACTCCCACCGGCCTCGAGAGTCGCCTCTACCCCCATCAGTCTCATACCGAGGGCTACGCGAGTAATCATCCAGTCTCCTAGCTCGCCCATATGTCTCGCGAGCCCTACGGTCCCTGTCTATATAATCATCGCTACGTCGCCATGCCTCATCGTCTCTCTCTTTTTCCCTCATAGACCTGCGAAGAACTGATCTTGCCAGGTACGGAACTGCTCGTCAGTTCAGCAAAGAACTAATGACCGAACTTACCAGACCTTCTTTAGCTCTGTGATCCGTTTCGGCACGTGAAATGATCTCCCCTGCCCTCACTTGTAGAATGATTGCCCCCGAACTCATCGGGTTGGGCTCGTCGTCTCCGAAACAGTAAGCTGACTCACTCACTCCCGCCAAGATCTCCCCTCCGCGCGAACCCCCTTTTGTCCGTAGTCCTCCTGAGGACACTGTGCACGATCCCCGTGCCAATCGACCAGGAGAGGTGATCACCTCGCGTGTCCCTTGCGGTATCTTCTCTCCCTCCCTCCCTCTCTCTCTCTCTAAATGCTCTCTCCTCCCTCACTCGCTGAATGCACGCTGACTGTTCTTCACCTCCTCCTATTCGCGCACCCCTACGCTGTGTAACACTCCGTACGACGTACGGGGGGGTTATCGTATGGTCGTACGTACGGCCGTATGAATGGCCGTACGGCTGTACGTACAGCCCCGTACGAAAAAAAAAAAAAAAAAAAAAAAAAAAAAAAAAAACGTTTTCTTTTTTATCTCAAATTTGGTAACGAATTTCAATAATACCCTGAGGCAAAAGTGTTTCAGTTTATTTTTTTGCATAACAAATATTTTTTTTCATATTTTTTTGAATTTTGTTTTTTGCTTTTTTTCCGTACGTACGGCCCGTACGACCACATGAGCCCGTACGTACGGCCGTACGGACATACGGACGGCCCGTATTCGTACGGGGGTATACACAGCCCCTACGGCCGCCCCCTTGATAACTCTCACGCGCGAGCTTACATGCCTAACTCTGAACCGAGCTGCAGTTTACTGTGCGCGCCGTGCACACAGCGAGTCTGTCCTCTCTGTGCAGTGCTGACCCGTTGTCGGCCGGCCTCTCACGAGTTAGCCTTGTTGCGGTCGCTACGCCTCCCTGCCGGCCCGGCGTAGTTCCCCCCCCCTTTCACAATACGCGCCCACGGTTAACAACCTGTTTCTGGTCGGCTCGACTGCCCCCAAGTGTCCCTTAATCGCCCCCCCCTTCTTCCTTCACGTCGTGCTCCACTTCCAAGTTAGCGCCCTTGCACCATGTTCTGTAGAGGTCCTCCCGTGATTTTCCATAGGTTCTTTCCCCAATAGTTCGATCGATCCGAGCCTGCCTACTCTAGGTGGCTCTTCTCGGCGGCAGGTCTACCCGACCAGTTCGAATACCGAGCTAGGTGCGAGCAGTGAAGCGCTGCACTTCAATTATTCGAGCGAACGCCTGTGGTTCCAGATCGGCCTTCATGGGTGGCCCGGACCGAGTCCGAAGTGAGCGGCGCTCGAGGGACCCTTGCGCAACCTGACAAAGATTCACAGCATGGAAGGACCGAACCCGAGCAGAGATAGGAAGCACATGGCCATTCTCGACTGGATGTCTTAGCGCGGAAGAACTGGAGCCCCTTATCGGGACGTGGCAATTCGTAGGAAGCTTCTACCGAGTTTCTAGATTCTGATAGACTGGTCTTACCCAGATTCGGAACGGGTGAGACCCTTGACTGGAAAGGCAAACAGACCAGGACAGCAGGTAGCTTGACAGGGTTTCAAGGGCGCCAAGCAGCGGTTTCCAATAAATAACTCGGAATTTTTGAGACTCTTCAACCACGATCCGAGGCTTTGAACATGCCAGAGACCCACATCATTTCCGACATTAGCAAGGCATCCTACTGAAAACCATATCACAAGGAGATTGTTCTGGGACCACACACGGAAACTCGCGAGCTCTTGAAATGAGACTTGAATCACGAACAGACCGAGGCTAGACAAGAGTTCGGACGTTTGCGGATAGCCTCGAGCAGTCTCCCGTTTCCCACTCTCTCTCTCTCTCTCTCTCCTTCACTGCTTTTTCCCTCTCTCCCACGGAGCTGCTAGCGTATGCTAATGGGGACTGGGAGCTCCCACCTTTTAGTCGCGCTTACGTGTGATTAAGGCGAACAAGAGACTATCGCATAACATAGCAAGGAACTCTCTTGGTGGCCCAGTCTCCTGAGGTTGGTTAGGACGAGGAGCGACCGGCCGAGCCAGTCTTACGGGTAAAGAGCTCGAAGGACAGCTAACATTTGCACTTGCGGTGCGTCAGATTCGGAGAGTTTCGAACTTAGTCGCAAAAACAGGTATTGACACGGATACAGGACGCAAATGGCAGCCTCCGTTCGCACATACAGTGCGGGAGCTCATAGAACACTGAACTCGGTCACGAAACCGGTATCAATACAGATATTGGATGCAAAAGGCAGCCTCCGTTCGCACATACAGTGCGGGTGCTCATAGAACACCGAACTTGGCCTTTAAACAGGTATCGTCGATACAGATGCCGAGCTCAAAGGACAGCCTTCGTTCGCGCGTTCGATGCAAATACTTAGAGGGCTCCGATCTTGATTGCCAAACAGGCTGCGATGCAAATGCAGGTCACACGGCAACCTTCGTCCGCACGTACAGTGCGAGTGCTTCGTGAACGTCGTCGCGTGGAGAGGCACGTACTCTCTCTCTCTCTCTCCCTCTCTTACTGTCACTTTTTCTTTCTCTCTCTCCCTCACTCCGTCTTCCCCTCTTCCTCTCTCTCCCACTTCCTCTCTTACTTTTCTCGCTCTCCCCTCCGTTCCCCGTACTTCTCTCCCTCTCTAAACGTCACGTTCTCCAGCCGCTCACCAAGATGATTCGAATGTTCCGGTACTGGCGTACGGGATCCGTTCACGTACGAGCTTCCCCGAAAGAACCCCTCAAGCTCGAACGCTCGGAGCTAGTCGACGCGCTCTCTAGCCGCGCGCCTCCTCTCCTATTTTTCCGGTACAGTGCGAGTGCTTCGTGAACGTCGTCGCGTGGAGAGGCGCGTAGTCTCTCTCTCTCTCTCCCTCTCTTACTGTCACTTTTTCTTTCTCTCTCTCCCTCACTCCATCTTCCCCTCTTCCTCTCTCTCCCACTTCCTCTCTTACTTTTCTCGCTCTCCCCTTCGTTCCTCGTACTTCTCTCCCTCTCTAAACGTCGCGTTCTCCAGCCGCTCACCAAGATGATTCCAACGTTCCGGTACTGGCGTATGCGATCCGTTCACGTACGAGCTTCCCCAAAAGAACCCCTCAAGCTGTAACGCTCGGAGCTAGTCGACGTGCTCTCTTGCCGCGCGCCTCCTCTCCTATTTTTCTGGTACACTCTCTCTCTCTCTCTCTCTCTCTCTCTCTCTCTCTCTCTCTCTCCTGTCTCTTATACACATCTAGATGTGTATAAGAGACAGCTCTCTCTCTCTCTCTCTCTCTCTCTCTCTCTCTCTCTCTCTCTCTCTCTCTCTCTCTCTCTCTCTCTCTCTCTCTCTCTCTCTTTCTCTCTTTCTCTCCCCCTTTCTATCGACTTTGCGAGAGTCTTCGAAGGATCGAGGGTTGTCTCCCTCAAGCTGGCCTTCAGTTACACTTCTTTCTCGCGGAGTGCTCGCGCAGATGATCCCCCCCCCTTTTTTCGCCTTCGTTCTTCGAGGGAGCTCGCTCTACATCCGCCGTCGAATACTGTCTGCCACACCTCGTAGCTTCTCCTGTCCTCAAGACGTGGCTCTCGCTGTCTTTTCTATCCCCCTCCCCCTCGGACTTCGTCTCGGCTGTGTGCGATCAAGCTCGAACCGTGCGCCGACCCCTCCCGTTCTCTCTCCTCCGGATCGTTACGGAGTGCGGCCTATTGTCACGAACGTGTACCCTCGGGCGTGCGTACGTACGTAAACCTCGTGCGCCCTTTTTTCCTCCCCCCCTTTTTCTCCTCTCTTCCCCTTTTTTATACCGTTGTCCTCCTCATGATCTTCCCCCGGATCAATCCTCACTTCTCCCGGCTCCTCCAATCAGGTCTTTCTTCAATTTTTGCAGTTTGCCGCCAAACTTTCGCAAAATTTCGCAATCTCCCGCCCATCGAACGGATCGTTCCCTGCAATTTTCTTCCCTCGCAACCAAGTCACTGCGAGTTTCTTCTCCCTTCCGGATTTCTGAAAACTCGGGAGCGCTCCCTTCTGGGCGTTCGCACGTGCCGGCTCGGCCTGCGCGCCCGGGCTCCCGGTTCACCCTCGTACCTATCTCACTCCTCGGTCCGGGTGCGTTCCGAACTCCGACCGACCGTTTGCCTTCTCTCCACTCTCGCCCATTCTTTCCCGTGCTTGGTCTAATCAGTCCGTTCGACCCCTCGGCCTTCAGGACTGTTTTCGATCTCCGCGCATTCCCGTCCAGTCAGTCCGTTCGTCTTCTTCTTTTGTTTGTTACTCGCCTTGTTTCTTGATCTTGATGCATAGCCCCTCTTAGTGACCCCGTTCGCCTTCTTCACTGATTTGAAGAAACCGCATCCACCCCGTTTCCCATTCTTTGTGCACCCGGCTTATTCCCTAAACCGGCCACGTTCCGTACTTCAACAGACCATTTGTCTTCTTCCCATTCTTCTTCTATTCTCCCTCGGCTTGCCCCCCCTGACCAACCAGTCTGTCGCCTCCTCGGCACTCTGGCCTGACGCATTTCCGCACAGCCTGTCCATCAGCCTTGACACATAGCCGCCCCTAGTTAGTCAGCTCGCTTTCTTTATCAGTTCGTAGCGCCTATATCCGCCCGGTTCCCCGTTCTAGGTACACTACTGGTAAAGGGGGACCTGGGCCATTTTTCGATCTGGCCATTCTTCCGCACTTTGACAGACTGTTTGTCTTTTTCTTGCTTCAGTCTATCCCCCCCTCCGGCTCGCTTCCTGGCTTCCGTACGTGCCTGGCCCAGCCTCTCTTAAATCAAGAACGCTCCTCGGTCGTTCCATCGCCCCAACCGTAGGGAGACATTCCTCCAACCTTGATCGGCAAAGGTTGCTACCTTGCGCGTGGCTATGTGCTCGTCGCTAGTTTCCGCCGGTATCT